TGCAAAACAACAGAACGTGGAACTTATTTAACCAAACATAATTCTCATTCATCAAAGAATAACAAGTGTAATATCCACTAAAGCAAAGCTTAAGTATATAACACCAACACCCACTACCCCTTCAAGTATAAAATTTGTTACCTGAAGTTAAAAGGTGTTTTGATCAATGAATATGCATATGACACGTAACTTGAAGTTACGAAATGTGATGGGACAAAGATGTCACCCGGGCTCCCTCAAATTGAACGACCACTGTACCTGCAAGAACCCAAAGTCGGGGACCCTGGGAGGGGTGCCCGGCTTTGGGCCTCCGATGCTTAAGTCAGTACTGGATTCATATGAGAGTGCATAGAGAGTATATAAAGAGAGAAGGAGAGAGTGTAGAGAGAGAATGCTTAGAGAGAATGGAGGAAATGAGTACCTTCTCTCCGTTTTTATAGGGGGAGTGTACTTTATAGTCCAAGTTGGGCCTGGCCTAGGTTGGGCTCAGCCCATATTATTATATCAAGTGTCTTAGCCCATGTATAGGCGTATTCTTCAATATATATCCATAAAAACCGTTCGGGTACGACATGCTATATCAGATACTACCGGTCGAGCCGACAGTACTAGCTGTGGCTATCCCCCCCCCACTCTGGTCGAGTGAGCATAACTCGATCCAAGAGTGAAAAATAGAGCAACTCGCCACTGGAGTCGTTCACTGAACACCATTCGTAGAGGTCGAAAGTTAAGTGACCCGCCACCGGGGTCAAGCATCGGAAGCCGAATGACCAATAAGATCAAAAATCGAGTGACCCGCTTCTGGAGTCGAAACCCAAAAGATCTGTACCCGAGATCGAGAACCGAAACTGGGGTCAAATGCCAAAAGATTTGTCTCTGAGATTGAGCACTGTGTTTGAGATTGGGTACTGAATAACTCGATGCTACCTCCAAGTCGAGAACTAAATTGAGGTCGAAAAACCTAATCCAAGAACCGAATGACATTTGAGGTTAAAAACTAAGAATCGATAGACCACTGAGGTCGAAAACCAAGAATTGAAAGACCACTAAGGTCAAAAAATGAAAATCGAGTAATCACCGATGAGGTTGAAAGCCGAGATTCGAGAGACCGCTGAGGACGAAAACTAAAAATTGATAGTCACCGATGAAGTCAAAAGCCGAGAATTGAGAGATCGCTGAGGTCGAAAGTCAGGAAACGAGAGTCGAGAGACCGTTGAGAATCGAGAGACCGCTGAGGTTAAAAGTTGGGAACCGAGAGTCGAAAGACCGTTAAGGTCGAAAATCAAAAACCGAGTAATCGAGAGACCACTGAGGTCGAAAGCCCTGAATCGGGAATCAAGAGACCGTTGAGGTCAAAAACTGAGAACCAAGAGTCAAGAGACCGTTGAGGTCAAAAACCAAAAATTGAGTAATCGAGAGACCGCTGAGGTCGAAAGCCCTGAATCAAGAATCGAGAGACCGTTGAGGTCTAAAACTGTCTGATCTGCTGTTGAGGTCAAACATCGAATGACCCTTAGGTCGGAGGCTGCAAATTGAATGACCACTGAGGTTGAAGTCGAGTGATCCACCGTTAAAGTTGAAAACTGAGACTGAAGTCGAAAACCATATTCCCGATTTCCCAAAGTCTTGAATTTGAAAATTTGAACTTACACATTCTGCTTTGTCAATTAATAATAAACCATTCTGGTTACCTCATCCTGTCGCCCCCTAGTTCAAGATTTGAAATTCAAGCCTGTTTTGTATCCTCTCGAAGACTGAAAGTCCTGACTCCTCTCTCAAGTCGAAAAATCGCGTTTGACAAAACGAAGTCAAATAAAAACGTCAACTTGCTCGAGCAATAACAAATACACTCAACATGCCACCGAGGTCGAAAAATAAATTTGATAATACATCACCAAGTGAAAAGCAATCAACCTGCTCGAGCAATATGGAGTATCCTCGACCTGCTACTGAGGTTGAAAAATATATTCGACAAACCAGAATCGACAACAACCTGGTCGAGCAGTAATGAATAATCAAATGAACATACTCGGCAATAATGAACATACTCGACCTTCCACCGAGGTTGAAATGGAATTTCGCCAAAATTAAATTCAAATACAAATCATCAACCTCCTTAGGCAATAATGAATATACTCGACCTTCCACCGAGGTCTAAATACAATTTCGACAAAGTCAAGTTCAAATTCAAATCATCAACCTGCTCAAGCAATAATGAATATACTCGACCTTCCACTGAGGTCGAAATACAATTTCGACGAAATCAAGCTCAAATTCAAATCATCAACCTGCTCAAGCAATAATGAATATACTTGAACTTCCACCTAGGTCAAAATACAATTTCGACAAAGTCAAGTTCAAATTCAAATCATCAATCTGCTCAAGCAATAATGAATATACTCGACCTTCCACCGAGGTCGAAATACAATTTCGACGAAATCAAGCTCAAATTCAAATCATCAACCTGCTCAAGCAATAATGATTATACTCGACCTTCCACCGAGGTCGAAATAGAATTTCGACAAAATCAAGTTAAAATTCAAATCATCGACCTGGTCAAGCAATAATGAATATACTCAACCTTCCACCGAGGTCGAAGAACAATTTCAACAAAATCAATCAAGAATCAATATCAACCTGTTCGAGCAGTAATGAATATACTCGACCTTCCACCGAGGTCGAAGAACAATCTCAACAAAATCAAGCAAGAATCAACATCAACCTGCTCGAGCAGTAATGAATATACTCGAC